GTCTTTTAATTTTGTACAAACTTGATTCAATTTATAATAAAACTTGCAAGGTTTTTCTTTCTTTTTAATGCTTAAAAACGAATATTCGAATCATGAATTTATATTCGAATATCAACTCATCGAATGAATATTCGAATATTCGTTGACATCCTTAATAGATATATTTATTTCCTATTAAATTCTTACATATAATTCTCATTTATTAAAAACTCTTACAAATTATTCTTATTTATTAACATGATTTATTTATATGTAAGTAACTTTTTACACATTGTATTTCACTTTATTTAACCAATCTAAATTAAAATAGATTATTTTGATGCTTTTTTCAAAAAGTTTATCCATGAAATTTAAAGCCATTTTAAATAGTTTTTACTGATAATAGTTGGGGATTTTCCTAAAAAATGAAATTGATTATAAAATTTGTATGTACAACGTTCCGTAGAAACCAGTGATTAGGTCACTTCCTTGAAAAATCATGGAAGCCCTTGTATGACATTGTTTTGAAAAAATAATTTATATTTTACACTGAATATTAATTGATTACAATCTTAGATATTCTGGTACATTGACTTATTTTTTAAATGCAGTTGCCTCGTAAAATATGGCTGAAGATAGCGTCAATAAATCTGGACCTGCTGAACATTACACGGTGTGCACAATATGCGAAGAGAGCTCCAACCTCTATTGCAATGACTGCCAACAGAGCTTGTGTGATCAGCACAGAGACGTCCATCTCAAAGAAGAGAAAAACAGACACCATGAAGTTGTTCTTTATACGAAAAGAAGAATACCCTTGCCTGTAGAAAAATGTTCATTTCATCCAACAAGAGACCTTGAGATCTACTGTGATTCTTGTAGAGACCCTATTTGTTCCAAATGTTCTACCTCAGATCACAGAAATCACCAGATCTCTGATCTAGAGGTTGTCTACAATGAAAGACTGCAACAATGTAAAGATCAACTGACAAAGATCCGCGAAGAAAAATCAAATCCCCAGACAGAACAAACAGAAAAAGAAGAGGAATTATTTCATTTGACGAGATTGGCCATGGTGCAAAGAGCTGCGGAGATGAAAGAAATTGTGGATTGCGTTCTCTCCGATAAAATTGCTGAGCTTGGTGCAATAAAAAGATCATATTTAGAAGAATCATTTAAATACAAGTTGAAAATGGAAGCCTCAGTTGACGAAATGGAACAAGATGGAAACTGCATTAATAATGCCATCCACTCTTCTAACATTCCATCAGCATTTGTTTTCATCACAAACACTGGAAGTCATGCAAGACTCTATAACAAATCATCCAACGTTACCGATATTTATCAAAGGTACAGAGGATACAACGGAGATAGAAAAACAGTTTGGGGAAATAAATTGGCCAGTAAAGGAGTTGGTTATTTCTCAATACAAAGAAGCCATTAATTTAAGTCCCAGTTTTTCACCTGTTAGTAAAGAGAAAGAAGGAGACAGCAGACTGACGAAATCGCTTTGCGATATTCAAGATGCTCGTTCAGTTAAATTAGATCTGAAAAAAGAAAGAAAAATTAACATAGGTACAACGATGAATCATCTATCTCTTTTGTCGTCAAATAAGTTCTGGGGCAGTGACATTTCGGGGAATCTAATCCTCTATGTCACAGAGGGAAATATTTTAAAGAAAATATCCACTAACGTAGTAGATGTAATAGGTTACCATACAGTCACATCTGAGGGCCACTTACTCTTTACTACTGCCAAAAGTAAAGCAATCTGCCGAGTGAACAGCGACATTAACACCACAAGGGTATTTTTCACTGAGGATTGGGAACCGGGGGCGGTTCACTCCTCCCACATCAATGGAGACATACTTGTGGGAATGAATAAAGATAAAGAATCAAATGTGACCAGATACAGTAAGGAATGGAAGAAACTTCAGGTGATCCAGAGGGGTGATCAAGGAAACAATCTTTACAAGAGCATAACTTATATCACAGAGAATATCAACGGAGACATCTGCACATCAGACTCTAATGCCAATAAGGTTGTGGTGGTGACTGCATCAGGAGAGTACCGCTTCTCTTACTCTGGTCACCATTCTCAGTCTGGATTTCGCCCCACTGGAGTCTGTAAAGACAAGCTGGGACAAATCTTGGTGTGTAATAGATATTCTTCCTTGCTTAGAAATTATTCTAGTGTCCACCTATTGGATATGGATGGCAATTTTTTGTCATTTCTGCTGACTCCAGGTCAAGGTCCAAACAAACCACGTGCTATCTGTATTGATGGCGAGCACATATTCATGGTCGGGAGTGAGGATAGTTCTACTGTCACAGTGTACAAATTTTTCCAGAAGGACGACAATTAAATCTTACTATTTAAGCACATACCTGGTATAACCTAAGGTGTGTGGAAGTTACCCACATAAATTGTTAATTAATCTTTTGACCAACCCAAGAAACCAACGTTTCAATGTGAAGATTTGAACGCTTCATTGGTAGAAATGTGAAATGAAAAAAAAAATCATTCACGTTTGGAGATAATTTTTTTTTCTATAAAGAACTCCCTTAAAATACTTTTTTTTGTTGAACTTGCACTTGTTGTTTTGCATAAATTATTTGTAAATGGAATATTAATTTATATAATAATTAACACGCTTATTTAATGAGAGATTCTTCTCTGGTTTCTTGCTCAATAATATATTCAAAGTATATTTGCATATATTTCATATATTTAATAGATGTATGGAATTTAAAAGATTTTTTTAATCTAGAAGGGTCAGTATATTTAACAGAACTGTGGCGTATGAAAATACCTTTTCTGTTTTTTAAACTTACTACAGAACAATTAAGTTTTTTAGACAATCAAAGACTAAAAAGGAGTTTTCTGAAAATAACAGAAATTAATAAAGTTCTATAAATGGACTATCAATGATATTTTTTATTGTCCTGCTCTCTAAACTAGTGTGCAGTTTTCCTGGCTATTTCATGTAACACCACTGTTAATTTCTGAGAATTTATGGGTGCAGAAGTTTGCTTTAAATCAAAAAAAGTAAAAAAGGATCATTTATATGATCTTACAAGAGGATGAATGACCTTAATTGTATAATAAGAAAGATGAAGATCACTTTCCTTTTTAGCTCACCTGAGCCAAAGACTAAGTAAGCTTTCCTGATTAAAATGTCCATTGTCTGTCGTCGTCGTTGTTGTAAACTTTTCATATTTTCATCTTCTCCTCAAGAACCACTGGGCCAATTTCAACCAAACTTGCCACAAAGCATCCTTGGGTAAAGGGGATTCAATGTTGTTCAAATGAAGGACCAAGCCCTTTTCCAAGGGGAGATAATTATGAATTAAAGAAAAATTAATGGCATTTTTAAAAAATCTTTATCTCAAGAACCACAGAGCCAGGAAAAATGAAACTCATGTGGAATCATCCTCAGGTAGTGTACATTCAAGTTTGTTCAATTCATGACCCCTGGGGAAGATGGGGCCAAAATGGCCGATCAAAGTTTTACATAGAAATATATAGGAAAAATCGTTGAAAATCTTCTCAAGAACCACTGGGCCAGGAAAGGTGAAACTCATGTGGAATCATCCTCAGGTAGTGTATTGTAGATTCAAGTTTGTTTAAATCATGACCCTTAGGGGTAGGGTGGGGCCAACATGGCCAATCAAAGTTTTACATAAGAATATATAGGAAAAAATTTTTGAAAATCTTCTTCTTAAGAACCATTGGGCCAGGAAAGATGAAACTCATGTGGAATCATCCTCAGGTAGTGTAGATTCAAGTTTGTTCAAATCATGACCCCTGGGGTAGGTGGGGCCAACATGGCCGATCAAAGTTTTACATAGAAATATATAGGAAAAATCTTCAAAAATCTTCTCAAGAACCACTGGGCCAGGAAAGATGAAACTCATGTGGAATCATCCTCAGGTAGTGTAGTGTAGATTCAAGTTTGTTCAAATCATGACCCCCAGGGGTAGGGTCGGGGCCAAAATGGCCAATCAAAGTTTTACATAGGAATTATATAAAAAAATCTTCTCAAGAACCATTGAGACAGGAAAGATGAAACTCATGTGGAATCATCCTCAGGTAGTTTAGATTCAAGTTTGTTCAAATTATAACTCCCAGGCGTAGGGTGGGGCCAAATGGCTGATAAAAGTTTTACATAAGAATATATAGGAAAACCTTTTAAAATCCTAATTTTAAGTGCTTTAAAGCCATGCTTAGTGATATTTATAGGGAATCATCCTCAGAAAGTGTAGATTCAAGTTTGTTCAAATCATGACCCCCTGGGTGTTAAAATCGAGCCCCCCCCCCCACCCCTTAGTAAACATTTAGTTCTGATCTGATATGTGCTCTTTCCTAGCCAATTGCTCAGGTAAACGATGTAGCCCCTGGGCCTCTTGTTTCAGCTAAACATTAATTCTACAATGCTTAAATATTGAAAACAATATAGAAATCTTGTAAAACAGAATCCTCCCTTTCGGTATTCTTTTCATCTTTCAAAACGAATATTATTTGTTGAGCATGACAAATTACTAGTGATGTAAAAAAAACCAGAAGTCTCTGTCGAGACTGAAGCTCTACTGGTTTGTTCTTATAGCAATGGAAGGGAAAAGTTCTTAAGCAGTTGGGAATTGAAACTTTACCACAGCAATAAAAAGAATATAATGATCCTTGATTAAGTCTCTTTATGTTCTTAGTATAGTCTACTTGCATGCCACATTATATTATAATCAGACTTAAACTGCAGGAGGAGTAGCATTTGAGAGTTTTTAACAGAAATTTCTATTTCTAGTTACCATGGCAACACCGTTCATCGAAATCAAAAACCGATATATAGAATTATGTATCTTAGTGTAGTCTACTTGTGTGCCAAGTTATATTGAAATCAGACCAAAACTGTAGGAGGAGTAGCATTTTTAAAGAATTTCATAGAAATTTCTATTTTTAATAATAACGGCAACACTGTTCATCGAAATCAAAAGCCGATACACAGAATTATGTATCTTAGTGTAGTCTACTTGTGTGCCAAGTTATATTGAAATCAGACCAAAACTGTAGGAGGAGTAGTATTTTGAAAGAATTTCACAGAAATTTCTATTTTTAGTAACCACGGCAACACCGTTCATCGAAATCAAAAACCCATATACAGAATTATGTATCTTAGTGTGGTCTACTTATATGCCAATTTATATTGAAATCAGATCAAAACTGTAGGAGGAGTAGTATTTTGAAAGAATTTCACAGAAATTTCTATTTTTAGCAACAACGGCAACACCGTTTATCGAAATCAAAAATCGATATATAGAATTATGTATCTTAGTGTAGTCTACTTGTGTGCCAAGTTATATTGAAATCAGACCAAAACTGTAGGAGGAGTAGCATTTTTAAAGAATTTCATAGAAATTTCTATTTTTAATAATAACGGCAACACTGTTCATCGAAATCAAAAGCCGATATACAGAATTATGTATCTTAGTGTAGTCTACTTGTGTGCCAAGTTATATTGAAATCAGACCAAAACTGTAGGAGGAGTAGTATTTTGAAA